AGAAATATACAATATCATACTATATTTAATTACTATAATAAGGCTTTATTCATATATAACATTTATAAATTATAAAACTTGTAATCAGGATATAAATATAGAGATAAGAGATCAGGTTGCTTTGGAATGATCTACCAATTTCTTAAAATTAAACACTATCTACAGTACCTTACTGTGGAAAGGAACAATCTAAAGACTGCCCAATCTGTGGTATTTCCGCTTACCAAATTTGCTTTCATCTATCTTTATCCCTATATTTCTCCTCTATTAGTGTGGTTCTTAGTACCATTCAATCATGTACAACTACCCTACAAAACTTAAGCAATCACTGCTGTATTAATTCTACCTCCTCCGTAATAAACGTTCAGATAACTTTTTTTAGCCATAGGCAAGTAAAAATAATAATGTTTGGCATCGGTAAATAAGATTTTTCAAAAAAAGTGTTCTATCGATAAGATACCTCATACTTATATACATTAACCTTATTTTTCTTGCTAAACTTACAACGACATCTATATAAATATTAATTACAAACTATATTTTATAAATGAATTAAGTTAAATTTAAAATCAAAGTTATTAACTTTAGGTTATGCATAGAAGTATGAATAGAAGCATTGACAGTATAACAACTGATGTATACATATTGACCCATCTGGTCTCTGATCAATTCCAATTCCCAGAAAATGATTAAGTTCACTTGATTTTGTCACAAAGTTGCTCTTCAGGTACTTCACCATCATATCCACATGCTCATCATTTGTTGATGCTATAATCCCGTCATCTACAAAAATAGCTACAATCATTAATTGTTCATTTTTATTACTTACAAATACAGAGGGATCTGCCTTTGTTTCTTTTAGATCAAAGTTTAACAACAAATTTTTTAATTTTGTATTCCTGCATCTGGGTGCTTGTTTCAATCCATACAAGCTTCGTTGAAGTTTGCAAACTTGTTTAATTCCATCTTCATAACCTTTTGCCTGGTTCATGTAAATCTCTTCTTCAAGATCACCATATAAAAAAAAACCCAGCACAGGGGATCGTGGCATAGTTGGATCAAGTATAATGATATCTGACAGTGATTAAAATCACTATAAAAAAAAAAACGCTTCGATGCAAATC